CAATCAGATGACCAAACCTTTTTTTTTTAAACCTTCTTTAAGATTTCTTTTATTACATCATTTATTTGTAATCTGCTTTAGAGCCTTATAAGTAAGGAAATCCTGTACACTTGCCTTCAGATTGTTTATCTTACAGATGAAGATCATATTTTCTTTTTGAGTAGTTTTATAAAGACAGATTTGAGAAGTAGCCCAGAGAAATCTGAAGAATCCCTAAACAGTCGCTTGTGTGTTTCAAAGTCTGCAGCCAGCAAGATAAAGGTAGTGAAGTGCCTGAAATTTTGCTACTGGAAGTGGTTCCAACTATGATAATCTTGTGACTTGCATTACAGTTAAACTCTCTTGGGTTTCACAGATGACTGTCTGTCCCTTCACCTGAACCCCTTGAGGGAACTGGCAAGGATGGGTGGTCAAAGTTTATTTCCAGTCTTGAAGTTCAGCATGTGGCAGCTCAGTCATAGCTTCTTTAGTCAAAAACATGACTATCCAAAGAAAAAAAACATGACTATCCAAAGAAAAAAACATGAGTATGGTGGTGTCCACCTTTTGTAAAGTAGCCTATTGTTTGGAGCACATCAAAGATGAGAATTAAAAAAAAAAAGAGCCTGAACCAACAATCTGTACTCAAAAAGATGAGTTAAGTCACTTTCTAAACACAAGCTTTTAAGTTTCAATATCCAGTTTCACACAGATTCTTTCAGGACATAAGGTAAACACCAAAGTCCAGACAGTGGCAGTAATAAAGGTGAATCTCCCGTCTGTTGCAGTCCCTACTGTCTGATTTAGGTGCTCTTTTCCCATCTGCACACCTGTAAACAGGGTCCTTGGTCAAGTTCAAGAAGCCTTTGAAGTTGTGGTGTAAAATAATTTTATACAGTGGTGATTACCGTATACATCATGGTATTGCCAGTTTGGGAATTAATCCTCTAGAATAGGTTCTTCTTGGATTTTTCTTTAATGTGATTCAGCTAGAAGCTATTTCTAGATAAATAAGCAGAAAGCCTACAGAAAATACGTTAACAAAGCAGGGATAATCTTGCCTCGGATTTTTTTGTTTGACTTAGCTAACAGTCATTAAATTATAATTCTGTACTGAAATTTAGTAAGCTTAGTAATTTTATGAAGCATGTTCTGTACCAATGATGATGTTGGCATAGACCATTGGAGTTGTGTAACTAAACCTTTTGGTTTCTGTTTCTAAACTACTTTTTCATTACTGAACTGTAAATGTTTCTCCCTGGCCTAAAACTTTGATCTGAGATTCTCTTGTATTAGCAGTTCTAAGGTTTTAGGAAGAAGAAAACGGTTGAAGTATTAGAGGTGCATTTCATGCAAACATATATCAAAATGTGTCAATTGTAAGAAAAGTAGTCAGTGATATATCATTTTACAGGAAAATAATCTTAGTATTAAAACACAGCAGCTGCTTCCTAGGCAGGAGGAAAACTTCAGATTTGTTCCCTAATGACTCCTTGTATCTTGGCTTGATGCATGGGCAGATCAGAAGTTTGAGTAGAGGATAATAACAGGTAGTTGCCAAATTCTCATTTTGGTTGATAGGTCTTTGCTCTTGAGTTTCTCTCTCCGCCTGGTTTAGAAGCACTGAAAACATTTTGAGACTGCGTACTTGCACAAGGGGATACCATCAGCTTTGGGGCAGTTGTCATCTAACTGAGGTTGGATAATGAGCAGCTGTTGATATAGAGTTGCTATAGATGTTTCTAAAAAGACTGTGTGATACCATCCTAGTTCATGGCTTTTGCTTGTTTCTTGCACTTTCTTGTGGTGTTTTGGGGGTTTTTTTGTGTGCAATAGCTCATTCTTAAATGGCATCCTTTGTTAAAGGACAGGGAAAGGTGGGAGAACAGTAGGCAAAATCTTGTGCTTTCCCAGATAATGAAGAATCGCCCTTGGTATTAGGCAAGCCTTTGTTACCGTTCATTAACTCTTGGTTGTGATTAGGAAAACTGGATCAGTAAAAATGACCCACCTTCTGTGTGCTCCAAATAATATTTGTGTTGGAGATAGTATGTTTTTGCTCTATTCCTGATAGGAGTGCAGAGCACTGATAAGGCTATGGAAGCCTCTAACTCATGCACAAATCTACAACTGCATGATAGTATATTACTGGCAGTAAAAACAAAATAACACCCAACTTGTTTTGGATCACAGGTTAGATTTGCATAACTACTAGGAAAATCCAAGTTTGCTTTTGCACCAGTGAAATAAATATGATCTAAAAATTTAAATGAAAGTAAAAATCTTTTTATTCACTTGAGAGGGTAATCTAATTTTTATGAAGTAAATACTATGTAGCTGTGATTCCTAATTTCTAATGGGGCATCACATCTATCTCCCATTTCCTGCCACCTGATCTGTTTTTAATGCCTTGCTTCATATTGCCATATGAAGCTGTTAATCACAATGCCTCCCTTTCTGTTCAAAGGCAGAGATCCTTTGCTTCAGAGTGAGATGTGGTGAGGATGAGTTGCGAAGCACTGAAAGTAAATGTGGGAATTGAGATCAAGAGGCTACTGGGTAGATAAGTATAAAGAGGTGGGCTGATTCAGCTGGGTAAAAAAGTGCATATTCTTATTCCTGGTTAGTATTAGCGTTGGCTTTGGACCTGCCTCAGGTTAATTCCCATTCATCCTCTGGCAGAGCTTTCCTCTGTCCCTTTATTCCTCCCTAAAATGCTTACCTAGCAACCAGTTCATGTGTTCATTGAAGCAGTTTTTTCTGGTCCTGTGCCCATGCTTCACAACAGGACAGTTGTCTTAATCATTGTTCCATGGGCGTCTTTCAGCTGAAATGTTGTGTGTGTTAGAGTGTAATACTTAATACTGTTAATGACTGTAAATGACTGAAGAACAGGGTTTGAATATAGAAATTTCTAACTGTGTTTTGGAGAGTTGGAAGGTGTTGCTTTTTGCTTGTTTATTAATGCACTCTACATAGTGATGTGAAACAAATTGCTTGGTTGGTAGCTGTAGTATATTGTATTTGGTCATGAGCTTTTCATATGAAGATAACTAAGATAGCTGGAGGAAAATGTGTACTATAAAAGTGGAAGAAATATACCAGTTCTGCGTATGTTGCAGTTTGTACACAATGTAGAATTGCCTACAGACTAGTGGGGTTTTTTTGTCTGCCATTCATTCGATGTGAGTAAAAATAATCTTGGAGCCTGGCTTAGGTAGTAGATTAGTCCTTTGAAAATCAGTTTGTGTCGACAGCAGGGAGGAGGAAAGTGTTCTTATCCTTGTGGAAATCATGGAGCAAAATTTAAAAGTTCACTTAAGATTGTGAGATAAGAAATCAAGGGCTAGATGGTTTTTTTTAAAAAAAAAAAGAGGAAGGAAAGAAGTGGTAAACTTCTGGGAACTAGTTGGAAAAAATCAGACCTTAGAGTATATACCAAAAGGATTCTGATAGTCCTGAAGTCCAAAGTCTGAGTAGTTCTAAATGCTTCACACTTGCAGTATAGCAGCTAACAACTCTAAGTCTCTAGTAATTCTGTCAGAAATTTATGATCATATAGCAGCAGAATCTACTCTGGAATATCTCAAGTCCCTAATGTTGAGTCATTAATATACAGAGGAGTACAGAAACCTAAAAATCACATTTTTCCGTGAAAAGTTCCTGCATATCAACCTGTTTGTGGTCCATATACTTGCGTATCAGAATTGCTCTGAAAGAAATATTAGCTAGCTGACTTTTTCCATGTTATGTAGCTGAAAAATAGCTAGTAAGATCTTGTCATTTTTAAAAAAAGTTTAGGAACTGCTTAAGAAAACAACTGGAAAGGCTAAATCCAATGTGGTTTGACCACAGTTTTTGCTATCAGTCCCCAATTCAAGTAAAGTACCTCTGCTCTGCCTAAGTCAGTGGTACAAACTTAAGTTGATACTTACCTTCTCTAGACTAATGATCTTTATTCTGAAAGTGATTAAACGCCTGCTATGTGGTTATAAGCAAGCCTTAATGTTACAAAATAGAAAATTCTCCATCCCAACACTTTTATGTGCTTGTGCAGTGAAAATGCACTGTGGTCCGGAAATATCTACTGTGTTACTACAGGAGGTTTTTATATTGTTCTTGTATTTTGAAATTAGCTATTGTTACTACATATATGTTTATATCTTAACTCTCGGTATTCTACATGGAAATTGTGGCACAGTCATCCCCAATTTATCTTTCATGAATAATGCTAGTAAGCAAAGTACTGCTCCACAGAATGAATAACACTTTGTAAGAAATCTTTAATTTTTGTATCAGATCATCTAGTCCACTGTTTTAATACTGAGGCACCAAAATTTGTAGCTTTCATGGACGTTCCCAAAACATGCATATAGGAGTTCCAATGTCTTATCAAAATGATATTTATTTAAATGCATTCTTTTCATCTGCGTATATCTGTGCTGCTCTTTTAACACCGGAGGCGATGGGTCCTTTCTTTTAAAAACCTGAGCCAAATAAAGGAATTGTCCCTGTGGAGCTGGAGTACGCAAGCCTGCATTTACGTCACATTCTAAATTGAGTCCTAAAGAAGGGTGTGTTGGAAAATACCAGATTTTGTGTGCCTATTAGTCTCTTCTCCGGGATGGAAGAAAGATAGTGTGCTAATTATTGTCATAAGCCCTGGAGGGGAAGGTGAAGATTGAGCAAAACTGTGAGTGCTTGAAAGTGAAGGAGACAGTTACTGGGAGTAGAGTTGACAGTCCAGTGTGTATTTAGATTCTGCTAGCTGCTTTTGGGTTTCTAGAATGCCAGATTTCTCTGTGATACTGGCCACACAAATACTTAACTTGTGTTTCTTGATGTAATTTTAATGCAAATGATCACTATATGGATTAGTGTTCCATATTAACAAATATCAATCTATCCTCCTCAGTGTTTAATCAAATAGTGTTTCATCAAATAGTGTTTCAAAAAATGGATTGAAGTAACATTTATCAAACAATAGGATGATTCTTCTCCTCAAGAAGAGGAAGTCTTTGCTATGGAATTGTAAAGCAATGAATCACTATCAGACCAGATATATGAGCAGCTATGTTTTGTCTGTTAAAAGTGCCATAGTTGTTGTTGAAAATTCACCAGGAGAATAGTTGAGGCCATATTTAAGTTTTTCCAGCAGCTGAGTTTCAAAAAACACAAATGCCAAAGATAAATCTGATTGTCCTTTAGAAAACAACTGGGATTCACACTTAATTTAAAAAAAAAAGTTGCTGTTTTTTTGATAAAAAAGCTGCCTTCTGTGCAGTGTGAAAAATGAACATAGGCGGTCTTTGGTTTGGATTTCTGCACAGGCTGAACTGCAAAGTTATTCTTGCAAAAAATCTCCGCCTTGTTCATTGAAGCTTTCCCTGTATTTTTCCAAAGCTGTTTGGATATGTAAGCTGCTGGCATAACAAATCATCAAGAATCAATCCACTGAGTAAACAGCTTTAATGTTGAGCCTAAAGGACTTTATCAGAATTCAGCATTTTATACCTATCAACCAGGCTGTGAGTGGGGAAGAGCTATCTGGGCTTCCCAAGGTTTCTTGGCAGATTTTTTGGCAAATGGACAAAACCCCCTCTACTTATGCCTGTTTGAATGAAATTTGTCCAAAATTACCAATCAGTGACCAGATAAGTATGATCAGCTATTAGCATGCTTTATTAATGTTCTTTCAAAAAAAAAAAAGGAATGGCAGATTCTTATGTTCCAATAAGTAAATGAAAAAGTATCAAATCTTTTGATGCTGGTTTATTAAAATTAGTAAATGGGGCAGTGGTGTTCTGTTCATATTGAGTAAATACCTTAATATACACTTAGAGTAGCTACATTTGTAGTCAGTTACATTGCAGTGTAAAAAATTGGAACAGATAATTTAAACATTCTATATATATTACTGTATGCATAAATGTTCTTGCCATTAGTTGCATTTTTATCACTTCTGCATAACATCAAACAGCTAATACTGTACATAATATACACATTCTGTTATTCTTAGAATCTTTTTCTAAAGGTGCATCTAATTTCATAGTAGCATGACTTGGTACCCACATGATCATGAAGATTACTTAAAATAGTGAGAAACTGTGGCACGTGTTGGTAATGCACTTCCAGCTCATAGAAACTTCTCAATAGTTAAGCTCACCTGGTAAGAATTCTTTACAAAGAATTGTGAATGTAGTCAGACTTTTTGGTTGTTGGGTACTAGGCTGCTTGAAGTGTAAAAAACCAACCAAACAGGAAAAAAAAAACCCAAACCAACCAACCAAAACCCCCAAAAAACCAAAACCAGACTAACAAATTATAAGCAGTATAGGTATGTGTGTGTAATGAATTATTTATGTAATGTCCATTTTTGTAAATGATTTTGTCAGGATTGGCTTTTTTCTGTTCTGTGAAATTCAGTGTATTTTTAGGTTTACAATGTTGTGTAAATGTCAGTTAACAATAAATATTTTTTCTAAGAGATGACACCTATTATTATTATTATTTAAACCATCCTGTCTTCCAATAGCCCCTGGGTTTGACTTTGACACTTGTATTGAAGAGTTTTTTCATTTCTTCCCTCAAGAAAGAAAGTTCAGATGGATGTTTTTAACATTTTGGGGGCACTCTTACATGTCCTATTGAATATCCAGAGTTCCCCTCTGATCTTGACATCCGCTTCTCTCTCGTTGCAGTTGATCAATGAAAATAGTTGCAAAAACCAGCAAATGATGTAGAGAGAAGTCAGCTTTGTACAAACAGTATTGAAAGCTCTTTTGTATGAAAGATCAGTGTTAGTGGCACTGTTGCATGGGTAAAAATCATGTTACTAGAAAAAAAACTGTAGTCTCACTCCTGAGAAATAAGAGAATTTTGCAGTTGAAACACAAGACATTGCAGTACATGGGGTTTGAGGTTTTTGTTCTTGTTGTTTGGTAGTTCTCAAAAAGGTTGTTTTGATTTTATTCAAAAAACCAGCACTTTTACTTCTCCCACAGCACTGTTCTGAGTTATTTCTACAAAGGCTTTCGCAATGTTTTAGCAGGCCAATATTGTACAAAGCAAGTTTGCTGATTAGAGTAGAGCAATGTTGAGAGCTGCTGCCACTCTTCTGGGTTTTAAAAATACCTGAATATAGATGATGATGATAGGGACTCTGATCAATAGCAAACAGGACATACTTGAAAACCTACTGCCACCTTATTAGCTGTCACTGTTATCAGAAGTGGGTGAATCAAGTGCAAAGGAAAGGAATGATTTAAGGATTCAATAAGTTATACTTTTTTTTTCTGCCTTGCCATCTGTCCAGATCTATTCAGTTCTCCCTTAGGGAATTTAAACTGTTCACTTTAACATCCAACTATAGTCTGCTGTCAAAAGGCTTTTACTTTGGATTGAGAAAACATTTTTTTTCTAGAGTCAATGTAATAAGATGACTTTGCAAAAAAGAAAAAAAAAAATCAGTCAAGTTGCAAGCAACAAGAGACAATATGTTGAAGTGTGAAATTCACATGCAAAGGTGGAACACTAATTCGTAAAAGGAGAACTTTTTTCATGATGTGGCAATTTTATATGTATTTTCACAAAAGGTCAAAGACAGTTACTGTGACTGGATTTTGAAAAGTTTTAGGAATCTGACAGCAGAAGTTTGCATGCTATATATAGGTGTTGAACTTAAAGTAGAATTCATATCTTTAAGAGAAGTGTATTATCTTCTCCCTGTGCAACATCACACCTACTGATTTTCAACATTTTTTTCTTTGGCTCTTGATCTATGTTCTTATGGACTATTAATCAGTAGTAGCTGATTAAAACACTATTTCAGAAGCTTCAGATAGGCACATTGCACTTTTGACACCCAGAAGTATCAAAGTGACTTATTTTAAAGCATATAGAGTGTGCTACATTAGCACTGCCACTAGCCTGGGTCTAGAACAAGGGCTGAATTCTGTTCAGGAACCTCCCTTCTGCCACCACCTTATCAAAAATTCAAATGTTTACTTTTTGAAGTCTGCAGACAGGATTTCTGCGGTTATCCCAGTAAACAGTCAATAAACAGTTTAAAAAAGAAACATTTTTTAAGAGAAACCTAGAGAATGAATGGTTTTTGGACCAGTGTCTTAAGTTACAACAAGGCTTACTATTAAGGTGGAAGTTTTTCTTTTTCAAACTTTTTCTAATAAGGTGCAAAAGAAATTTATGTTCTCTGACCAAATCTTACTTGTAGGGTGGGCTTTTTTATCAGAGGATTACTTTCTTATAACTATAGTTTGTTACAGGCACAATAAATGCAGGCACTTAACTTTTAAGACACAAACTCACCTCTGGGACTGGAAGTATTGCAAGAGAATAATTAAAAATACCAAGTGCTTTGGAGTATGATATCCTGCTACTGTATTCACTAAAAATAAATCACATGGTGTATGGCTTAATCAAGAAGCATTAGTTACCACCAAGAAAACAGATATTCTAGAAACGTATTTCTTTTTCCTATTGTAAATAGACAAGGTGGTACAGATGGTGCTCTTACAGGGTTATGCATGAGATACAGTGTATATCAAAATTACACGTCTGTCTTAGGCCCACGTTAAATGCAACCAGCTATACTTCATTCAAACATTTAGCAGTAAAGGGTCACTTTCTCTGAATCGCAGAAAGATCTGCTCAGTACCTCCGGACAGACCTAACACAACTTCTCAGGTACTTAAGGAAGAGTGTAAGCATTACTTGTAAGTATACCTAAAATTTCTTATTCCTGCAGGTTATTTTAGTATCTGCTAACAAGCTGACTCGATATATAGAACCATGCCAACTAACAGAAGATTTTGGAGGAACTCTCACCTATGATCACATGGATTGGTTGAATAAGAGGCTGGTTAGTTTTCTGGGTGTTTTTTCTTTTTTCAAATGTCTCATTCTTGAGCCATGAATTTTTATTTGTGTAGGAACTGCTAAGTGTGTAAAAAAAAAAAAAAAAATTATCATATGTGTAGTAGTGCAGTTCAGATACATGAATAGTCTTATAACTAACGTTGGATTTGCTCAAGGGATGCTAAGGCTAATGTAATCAATTTGTTGAACCAACAAGTTCCTTAATGAAGCTCTCTTGTAGACTCTCACTCTAGAAAAGTGTGAGTATAGTCACTACAAAGGGAAATTGTTTGACTGCTGATAGGAGAAATCCAAAAAAGGAGGAAATACTTGGACTCTTAAACTGAAAAACGGTAGATTTAGGTTGGATATTAGGAAGAAATTCGTCTCTGAGGGTGGTGAGGCACTGGAACAGGTTGCCCAGAGAAGCTGTGGATGCCCCACCCCTGGAAGTGTTCAAGGCCAGGCTGGATGGGGCTTTGGGCGACCTAGTGGAGTGTGTTCCTACCCATGGCAGGACCACTGGACCTAGGTGATCTTTAAAGTCCCTTCCAACCCAGACCATTGTATGATTCTGCAGGTTCTTAGAGTTGATGGTTTGTTTGGTTTTTTCTTATGCCTTGGTTCCTGTGGACTGGGAGTCAGGTTTTAAGCTGTCCTACACTAAAACCTCTGTCAGTGCACTTCCCCCAGTAGATACAGAGATGTAGTAGAAGTCTAGGAGCAAATACACCCCTAAATCACTAATAGATACAAATTGTTTAAGCAATTGCTGATGTGCGTAGCACTTCAGAATGTTTTTAGTCTGTTCTTCATGGATAGTTGGTTTTCAGTTACTTAAATTGAATTTTCAAAACAATATTTAATCTTCAGTGAAACAGTGTGTTCCTTTCCTGTGCAATCAATTCTTAAAATGTGCATCTCCAGGTGGGATCCTGGACAAGGGAAACTCCACAGTGTGTCCCAACCGCAACTGCCTAAAGCCTTCAAACACACCCTGCAGCCATTCTCACAGCAGTACTTCCCCCTCAAGAAATTTGACAGCTTACACCACGTGTACCATGTTTCTTTTTGCTGAATCTCAGCAAATTGTGTGTTCAGACCCAAGGGTAGAGAGAGCATCATCTGCTGTGCAGCTTTTTTTCTACTGGTCTTTGCATGGCCCTTGTGTGTGCATGGATTAGGGCAAGGCAGTTTGTTCTCTGCCTGAAACTGAGAGTGCCTGGACACAGTGAAGGGAAATCTAATATTTTTATTGTCCTTAATTTTCATCCAGTATAAACAAAGCTGTCTTTTACTCATTCCTGGATTCATAAAATTCATAAGGACAGTACTTCCAATTTAGCTGGGACTTCTGCTTTATATTTGGTTCAAACCACAAATGAAACTTTTTTTTCTCCTGTCTCTCCTCTCCTTGCCTTGTTTCACTTGGTTTGTATATTAATGAAGAACCTCTTCCATTGCAACACCTGAATTCTGAAACTAGACAAGAGGGCAGAAAGGTTGTTTAAGGTACTAGCTGAAAAATAGTTTACAACAGTTTATACATTTTAATTCTATGGAACATCTTTTCCTTTTGTAACAACTGAATTTAGCTTGTGTTTTATAAACAACTCTCTTAGAAATTGCCTTTTCAGAGCTGTCTACCTCATGTCCTTTTTGGTTTTCCATGAAGTTTCAGTAGTCCTAGATAAGTTAAGGAAGGTTCATCTACAGGCTACTGATTAATAATTTATTAACACCAAAAAGACCTGAAAGTTATTGTGCATGTCACTTATGGCACCTGATCATACTCAGCTCTGGGGAAAAAAAAAAAGCACCCCTCCAAAAAACTCCACAAAACAAACAAAAAACCTCAACAACCCTCAGAAGTCAGGTACAGAGGAGTTGTCTTAACAGTACCTAGCGTCTGACTATATAGGACTCGTATCTGAGATCAGAAGCCCATATAATCAAAGAAACTGATGAGGATATTTGTTTCTCTAGAACACACCATTCTTTTATCTTAGTTATTCATTACAATGTAGCCCATATCAGTAGTGATTAAAAGCTGGAATCTTCACAAAGTTGATTATTTTAATCCATTCAAGTGAGCTGTCAGATGCTTGTGTAATATGCCTTGATTCTCTAAGTGAATCTTAAGAATAATGCTGAAGTCTTAAATGAAAATGTAGAATAAATATGTTCATAAGACCTTAAAATTTTTGCAGAAATCTCAAAATTTTTCAATATTTCAGAAATCAGTCCATCTTTATTATATTAAATATAATTTTATTATCTTAGTGCTCTTAAGTGTTCCCCGAGTAAAACTTTGTTTTCTACTCTTTCTACCTTACTATCTGAATGTTGGGAAACAATTACGCTCTGTAAAGATTGATGTATATGAACAGAAGTAGTGGATAAATTTGTACTGATGCCTTCGATACTGCCACTTGTATAACTTGAATTTCTTAAATGAAAACCTGCCTCTTATTTAGGTATTTGAAAAGTTCACGAAAGAATCGACATCTCTACTGGATGAGCTTGCTCTAATTAACAATGGAAGTGATAAAGGAACTCAAGAGAGAGAGAGGTGTGTGGTTCACTTCTTGAAATCAATGCTTTTGAATTATAAAATTCCATTGGAAATACATATCATATTGAAAATACAATATGCCTTTATTTTGAAATGTGTAAAGAAATTCTGAAAGTTTATAATGTAGTCTACAAAATCAATCAGTGTGTGTGTTGATGGATGCTCATTTGGCTATTGACTACATGCAGCTCAGCTGCACTTCTGTTTTGATACAATGAGTTGAAAAAGTGAGTACTTTACTGAGTGAAAACAGAAACGTACACTCTTAACAGCATCAGGTAGCTCTGGCCTTAGTTGAAGTTTTTAGTGCTACTGTAATACAAACTATTAATTTGTTACTTTAATAATCAAAGTTCATTATTATTAATAATGTGTTTGTTACTTTATTCAAGATCAATAGATTTGAACTTCCTTCCATCGGTTGATCCTGAGACGGTATTGCAGACAGGTATAGTAAGTCAAAAAATGATAGTGTTGTTCAATAAAGTAACATTCCTTTTTAACCCCTAAGTGAAAGCACAGAGAGCACAATTATCTTACCCATCATCACAATGTGACAAGCTTATCAATTGATGTCATCTTTCTTGGGTTAAAAAAAGTAATGTTAACAAATAAATGGAAGAACTCCAAATGTGTATTTTTTAAAATAGTTTTTAATGATACTTATAATATTTTTATGGTATTACCATAATTAGTACATTTAATTTTTAAGAATGCATTGTTTCTAGATGATGTCAATATGTTGGCCTTATACAATGAATTTGTCTTAAGTAGCCACCAAATGGTTACAATACAGATAGCGTTTTCCTACACAATTCTGATAATTTGCATCAGCCTAGTTTTGAGCTGACCATCTGTAAAAGTAAAGCATAAAGTCTGACTCTGTGCTGCTTAGACTCTACCTTGAGCATTAAACAATTTGGGGTTCTTTGAAAAAAATTTTTTTTGGTGAATTTCCTGTTGGCAATAAAGTATAATAGCACTGTTGATTTGGACCAGAAATTTCCTTAGAGATTTGTGCCTTTGTAGAACAGGAAGTAATGCATAGCATTAGGGTGGTGATCAGAGTCTGAATGCTCAGAATCCTTATCTTATAGCCTCCCACAAACTAACGTGTGGATCACGTCATATTTGCCACAGAGAACTGCTGGCTTTACATGCCCTCTGAGTAAAATTTTAGTTTATTTATATATAGGATAATATTGTTTGAGTTAAAAGGTGAAACAATAGTTCCTTGCTGTGGTCTTTAAAGTTTTTAAAATATGAAGTGTCTGTAGACACTCCCACTAGACTTTAGTCTAATTGTATATCCTCCTCTAATGGTAAGGAATATTTTTGGATGAAACAACACTTCAATTTTGTGCAAGTAGATGACTCCCAAGAACACTAGTTTATATGCATTCTCTGTTTAACTTTCATTAAATAATGGCAGTTCCTAAGAGGCAACCTTTCTCTTTGTTAGATTTGCTGTCTTGAAAGTTTGAGAATAAAAAATTAAACTCTCCCCAAGTAAACTTTCCTATCTCTTAAGGGTAAAAGTGAATCTGTCTTCCATAGTTACAAGTACTATTGCTTTCACAAGCTCCAAATCCACAAGTAAAGTATAGTTCTTAGAATTTGATAAGAATCCAGTTTAAAAAATGTTTTTACTCTGAAAATGTTAATTCTTTACTGCTGAAAAAATACAATAAAAATTCAAAATTTTCCCAGTTGAACTATGACTTGTGAAAGCCTTTAAGTCTGTTTGCTCTGCAGCTATCTGTGCCTATCTGTGTAGTATTAGAAAAGATGAAATCCAAGATGTTTATTTCTATAGTATGGTAAAATGTATTTGAATTCTTAAGACATGTTCATTTCACAGTAATATATGCTGAGTAATTTAATGTTGCTTGCTGCAGTCCCCAAAGCCCTTGGCATTTTGATTGTCTAGATAATACCAGTTGAATTTAGAGTCTGTTTTTCTGCATTGTCCTTGAGGTATTACGATTTCTGTTCTAGTGGTAATTTTTTTCTTTTAGTGAACTGTCATGTTACCATTTTAAGACCTGCAGAGCTGATGATGTGGAATTGGCAGATTTTCACTTTTATGCCAATATTTCTTTAGTGACCAAACACTGCTTTATTTCCTCACTTGTTCATTGAGCTTTTGGGGAACAAATTGATGATCTGGGTTTACAGGTAGTATGGCATTTACATCCTGAAAACTGTACCACAACTTAACAATAACATTCATTGAACAGTTTAAACAGAGGATTAAATAGTCAAAACATACTATTTTTGCATATATGAAAGTCATTACACTCTAGAGAGTCTACCCTGATGTGGTGCTTAAGAGCACAAAGAAAAGGGTGAGAAGTGAGAAAAAATTATTGATCAAAATACTTAGTATTCAGCTCCACACTTTCATGAAAAGCTCTGTACGTGTTAGAAGAATCCTGGAAGATAACAGAGAAATTATATGCTCAGTTTGTTGGTGCTTCTAGATCATTCCTTTAGTCTAAGAATATGAATTGTTTGAGAAATACTTTAGATGCTACACAGCATTTTGAAGTAAACCAGAATACTTATAGTTGTTTCAGACTCAAGATTGTACTTTGCAATTGTTTCTTTACATTAATCAGTACTGTTGTCAATATGAATGTTAAAGTCACGGTATCCCTTTTGTGTATCTAAAATATGCCCCATGATTTCTACCGTGTTTTATGACTGCTACAACCCCACAAACTGTGGCCAGTGCTCTGCATGAAATGGCGTCATTAAATGTGCCCAATGGATGAAAGATCATTAGCTTCAAAAATGTACCACCGGGTGGTCTAAAAGCAGACATGCTTACTAATAATTTTTGTGCTTGTATTTTGAATCTAAATTATCCACACCATTATATGTATTCTTAAAGGTCATGAGTTACTATCTGAGTTACAACAGCGTCGATTCAATGGTTCAGATGGAGGGGTATCCTGGTCTCCAATGGATGATGAACTACTTGCTCAGCCACAGGTCATGAAGCTACTAGACTCACTCAGAGAGCAATATACCCGCTACCAGGAAGTCTGCAGGCAACGTAGTAAGCGCACACAGCTAGAGGAGATTCAGCAGAAGGTAATGCAGGTAAGCTTGGAGTTATTCTTGAATACTGTGATGTGGAGCTTTGACCTCAAGTCCCAGACTTTCTCCTGCAAAACTTAGAATCAGAGGTGAGAGCTTCATGCTTCCTTTCACTGCTCAAACTGCAATGTCCTAGTTTCACTTGACACTTTACATAATGGCTACCACAGTGACTTTCCGAAGGCTGTTCTGATACATAGAGGTGATTAGAAATATGCTCTCTTGCCATCACGCTGAAGAACCTTCACATTGTCCCTTTGTTCCGTACTGTGGCAATGTCCCTCTACGTTGTCAGAGGGTCAAATGCCTGACCTGTTAGCAGAGAGGAACATTCACAAATGAGATACATTTAACTGTAATTTTGCTTGAGAGTTGGAAACCTTCCCCTGCCCATGTTAATTTTAAATTCCTGTTATTGAAGATAAGCCATTATTTATTCCTTTATTTGTCTGCTTGGTATTTTAACTTAGTGATTAAACTCTCTGTATTTCAAGGCTATTCTGACCGGAATGAATACAAATCTTCCCAATCAATCATGTGTTAAAAGGTCATAATGAATTGGTTTGGTCTTTTGAAAACAGGCATGTAATTAGCACTTTAAACATTTTCTCAGCAAAGTCTCAGTAGAGAAAATCAAGGAAATGGAATTTAATTTATTCCTCTTGTGTTTATTACTTGAAATTAGGCTTATACATTTTTAAACTTCTGTATAGTTTGGATATGCATAAAAGGGAATGGATATTGCTTTTAACCTTTCAACACTGACATTTCTAATGTATGGGGAGTGCAAATCAAGTACTTGCACTTCTCAGCATTCCAGGTATGGGTAAACATAAAAGCTAATCAATCTTTTTATTTCTAGCAGTGAAAATATAAATCTACTGAGAAAATAATTTTTCCTTATGTAGTCATTCAGATTATTGTAAAAATACAAAAGAAGCAAATGTCATCTTTTGATATTTTGAGCTGGAAATAATAAAAAGAGATGAAAATAATACTATATAGTACGTATTACCACAGCCGTGGGTATAATCAGGTAGAGATTTTTTTCCTGTGTTAAAGTTACAGTGGTTGAACAAGATGTGCTGATTGAAATGAAATTTATAACATACTTTGGCAAATTGACATTGTTACTGCATTTAAACAGACTTGTTTACTGGGGCATCAACCTCATTTTGCAATATTTGTATTAGAAATAGTTCTTTTGTTTGCTCCGTGTACACTATGGATGCTGCATAGTAAGTGAACTGAGTCTACACAGGAAAAATGTGTTTTGCTGTGTAACTGAGCCAATCAGTTTTATAAAGCGCATTTAAAAGCTCTAAGTGGCATATAAATGGGAAAAACTTACTAAATCTAGAAGTTGATTTAATTTGCTTTTGGTTTACCGGAGAAAATTAGGCTAACAGAGAAAAGTAAGAAGATAATGATGGACTGGAGGAAACTGGTACAGACAAAGTGCCATGGAATTTATTTTGCTAAAACAAACAGAAGTAGCAGGATAATGTGCTTGCAATATTTTCAGTTCAAATGGGTGTGTACATAGAAAGTTTTCCCTTTGTGTTGCTGCTTTTTTTTTTAGTGTTTTGATTTTCTGTTAGCTTTCATTACAATTACGTTCCTATTTCATTCTTTGTATAGCTTGTTATATTGCTAACCACTCTTGGCTTGCTTTTGTCTTACTGTTTTGTTTTCACTATGTGCTGCTGCTGCTTACTGTGAACTGTTACGTTCTTACTCCTGCCTCGGAGCCCTCCTGTCCATAACCACCTTTCTTCCTTTGTGCCTTCAGTATCCTACACTCTCGTTTTTAACCACCACTCTTCCTTCTATTCCATAGTTTTGTTTACCTTTCCTTCATCTTTCGTTTTGCAGTGTAAGGATAGCAATGATTTTCGGATGTTTTATGATGAGCAGTTCTACTAAACAGACTGCTGATGAGCAGTTATGATAAATATGATATATTATGATAAATTCTAGCTTTGTCCCTCCTTAGGCAGAGGTACTAATTACCATTTTTCTAATCTTAATTCACAAAAATTAATACCAGGCCTTGCAGTAGTATAGTCATTAACCATTTAAAAATGTATTTAACAAAAATAACATTGCTTCTTTCTCCAGGTCCCATAGCGACTCTTCTCAGGTCTCACAAGAATGGCCACGTGCAAAGCTAAGCAGTCTCAGAGCAATGCAGTAGTTGCTGAAAACTTGTAATGGGGAGGTGATCTTGGTCAGAGAGGGCATTGCTAAGCAGTAGGCTTGCACACTGTTTCAGACCTGCATGAGAACTGTCATTTCCATCTGAGTGTTCCAGGCCATGCTGAGGTTACAGGGGGGCATCTGGGTGCCTTTGCGTCTAGGCCCATTCTGTATTGAACCAGAGACGGCTGTGCAGAGGTGTTTGAGCACAACAGGAAGCTTCTCTTCACACAAAAAGAACCTAGACCTGTAGAGTCTTAATTTGCCCTAGAAATGATAAAAGTAAGGAAGACCCAGAATGGTTTTGGAGCAAAGAATATATGCTCTGAAACAGTGCTTCTTATGGGGGGTGTGGGATGTGAAAAGAGAGGGTGGGAAGACACAGACACGATGACTAAAAGGTGAGGTGAATTGAGTGACCTTCTGTAATGGTGATGGTCATTCTTGATTACTGTTGCAGTGTAGCCTAGGAGCACTAGGAAAGTGGTCCAATTAGACCTTTTTTCATTTGTCTTCACAGTTATGGTATTACATTGTGTATTGTGTTGTATTTCCTGAAAAACTGTGTGAAGCTGTTCTGTTGCCTTTGTTGAAACAAAAGTCACATTAAAGAGAGGAAGCTGGCTTCCTATGCTTTTTCATTGAGGTTCAGAATGTGGGGGTGCTCCTGCATTTCCTTACTTCAGGACTCCAGTAGTAAGTGACTTTTGTACTAGGTTTCATCTGTTTCTGTGTTTTATAGATGTTTAAAAATTTATCATAAAATTTTGCCATCTGATAATTCAAATGTGTATAAGGAAACCAAAATTTGAGATACTCTGCTTTGCTTTGAATAATATTAACATGAAATTAAATGGTTTCAAAATAGTAATAATAATAAAAGAAATCCAATACTGTAGTCCAAAACTGTATTGCCATGACCCTGCAAAGATTTCTGCAGAGGCAAATCTCGTGAGATGTGGTCATTAAGACTCTGTAAGAAGCTTCTGTTATTTGAATAGAGCAAGTTGAAAAGACATAAATATATAAAATTCTAAATTGTTGTGTAAATTTAATTTTGGAATGGGTACATATCCTGTACTTGAATGTTAATATACTCAACAAAATAAGGAGAAAACTCAGGTGTGAGGTTGAATACAGCTGTGCATTGTAATTCACTTAGGCAACAATAATTTCTTGTTTGAACATGAGAGGTCCATTACAAGAAAATTGTGGTTTAAATTCTTTTTTTGACAGACTTACGAAATCACAAGTAGGTATGTGACAAATCTTTTGCTAGCTGCCACCTGCTTTCATGGAGCTGGCAGGCTAAAGTTAATGAAAAATAGTTTCTACTTAAAGCTTTTGAAGATGTGAATGAGTTCAACAACAAGACTTATACAGATCCTAAAAAGAATTTTTTTTCATAAATGTATACTTACTTTGAACTATTTCTGCTTATGTTACATAATTCTTTTTATACCAGTTTTTGTGTAATTGATTTGCTGCTTTATTTTTGTCATCTTTATCTTATTGACAGGTAGTCAATTGGCTTGAAGGACCTGGATCAGAACAGCTAAGAACCCAGTGGGGAATAGGTGATTCAATTAGAGCTTCACAAGCTTTGCAACAGAAACATGAAGAGATTGAGAGTCAGCACAGTGTGAGACTTCCCATACCCTTTTCTAGTAGCAAAATAATTTGAAGTACAAGCAGTTAAAACCAATGTCTTTTGGTTGTGAGTGTCTAGGAATTTTGCATAGTGCATGATTTTATGGGTTACAGAGGAAAGTACCTGAGCAGTTTAAGAACTTAATATGGTCGTTATATGTACATGTTGTTTTCTTTTCTAATGTAGAAAAACATCGATTTCTATCTGAGTTTTCTTTTTTATTATGTTACAGAAGTTCTTTAAATTTTCATGTTGAGTAGGAGAGTAAAATTCCTTTTTCCTCCCTGCCAAAATGGCTGAGAAGTCCTGTACTTCTCAGATGAATAAGTTAATATTCTTGTCTTTATTAAACTACATTTACCAGTAGCTGAAACTGCCTTAACACTTTCATTGATCAAGACTTAAGATATAATTTACGTTCATAATGAAATTTTGAAGAGATTGTTTTGTAACTGCATTGACTTGATACTTCTATTTCAAATTTTGAAGACTTCCTAAGATGCAGTGGAATTTTGTCTTTCCATCAGGTGATTAACTATAATTGGCATGTGAATACTTAGTGTTTCCCAATGGAGTGTTGCTCACAGTGCTTTTCCTCTTTTCTGAATTTCCTTGATGTAGACATTGACAATTCTGTCCACTTTTCCTAAGTGGACTTTTTCTTTGCCACTTTTCCTTTACAGTTATGGCAAAGAAAATAGTCACTAGGTTATAATTTTTCTGACCTAATTTAGAAAAGAAACCCCCCAAAAAACCCCAAACCAAAACAAAAAAAACAACAAAAAAAACCCCAACAAAAACCAAAACCCAACACACCCCAGACCTTTTGTCTGAGAACCACTGTGCCCTAGACTACACTGATTCTATTGACTACATCTCTGCTACATATGATTTCCCTGCTCAGATGCAGAAGTATGTGTTGTAGGTGTTTATGCTGGGTCAAGTGAATCCCATCTCCTCTGTCTTCTCATTGCTCTAAGCTCTTCAATCAATGTTCTACTCTGAAAACCAGTACCTTCTGAAGTATAAAACATACTACAGTTAAAGTCTGTATTGGAAAGAAAAGAAAAAAAATCCCGTCTACTTCATTGACAAAAATAATTTTAAGATCTTTCAGTCATATTTGCATTTCAAACTGAAAAGAGAAAACAAGACTGAATATACTTTGTTCTCGCTTGGATATTTATAATGGAGAGCTACACTTTAGCTGGGGCTAAATACAGTCCTTGAAATTAGTGAAATGCAGACTGGCTTACAGTTTGCTCATCACTAAAGCACTGACAAGATCGAAGGCTGCTTGGTTCTCATGTGCTGGCAGGAGTTTATAGAAACAACAGTCAGAAAAACTAATTTTATACTGAAAGAAGTAATTGGGAAACCACTGGCCTACCTAAAATTTGGATGCCTGTATATTAATTAAAACCATTTTTTGATTATACCACTGGAAAAAATGTGATTTGTCTTTTTGATTTTTAAACATCTCATTATAGCTGAGTGTATTCTTCCTCTTTCATTATTTTCCTATTTTTCTCTCCTAATAATTGAATTGACAGCTTTTATGCTTGCATTCTTTCCTCTTCTATTTGTAGTTGATTATATTAGTTCTATTTGGAAGACACTTGCAAAAATATTTGATTTGTTTTAAAGAAAGGCTTTTTTACTTAAATTACTCTGAAGTGAAAAAATATTTTTCTTAGGGTGGTTTTTTATTTTGGTTTGTTTCTTGTTTCTTTGTTTTGGGGTTTTCTTGTTTGTTTTGGGAAGAGTTGTTTGGGTTTTTGGGTTTTCATTTTCTGACTTTTATTCAGGATCAATATACTAGAGTTTTTATTTTTGAGCAAATGTTGGCCTTTTCTCCATTGCTTTGAGCTGTCACATACAGCTGAGCCTCACTTTCGCCTATGGAAAGGATCAGAAACAGACTTTTTATCTGGGTTGCCAGTCTCTTAATTTCACTGACAGCTTGACCAAAATCAATTATTGCAACTATTTTAATTCCTTTAGTGCTAAAAATAAAATAAATTAAAAAAAAATCTAGATTTTTTTTTTTGTTTAACTTATCATATTATAGTTGACTTGTCACACTCAGTAAGCTTGGTTTGTGTGTTTAGTGTCTAAAGGTACTAACGAGAACTATGATGTGTAAACTGAATTACTTGAACCTATATATCTACAGTATGAGTGTGACAATGGAAGATGTTTCCATGTTATGTCATCTTAGTTGCCCCTTCTGGGGTAGATGAGAGGCTTATTCTGCTCTTAAATTTTTGACTGATTGCCAATTTCCTTTTTTTCCCCTCTTTGCATCTTTTCTACTCTGTTTCTTCCTGTGAGCAGATGGTAGAGGCAGCTTTGGGTAAAAAAAAATAAAAATATCGGAATATGGATATTTATATTTTGCATGCTTTGTAAATAAATGATGCAAAAGCTGAAGGCATAATTTAAGAAAAAAAAATTGCAAACATCCCAATAGCAGTGTGACAAGAATACTAATTAAATCAACTATTGTAGGCCAATAGATGGTGCTATTCCATAGCATTAGAAATGCATCGGGCATTTCAAGGTCATGTTACTATAGGCCAAAATAAAAGCTGTTGAGCAAACATGTTTTGCTTTACAGGCATCTCAATCATGCAAGATGTGAATGTGATCTTGATGTATCAAGTCAGTTTTAAATCTCCCAGAATTGTTAAATATTTGAACTATTTTCTTTTGCAAATGTACCACCATGACAACATTAACTCCTATGTATGTATTCAGTAATCAAAGCATTTGAAAAACAAATCTACACTCTTTTGAGTAGTTTAAAGCTTTCCTTAAATAAGAAACAAGGATCATTTTGAAGTTTCTGTACAGCGATACTCTGTTTTATTCAGAAGGTAGAGATTCCTTCCACTTTGTCAACAGTAGTATTTTTTCTAAATGTTTTAAGACAATTACTGCTGGTTTCAACTATGTCACTGAAAGTAACACCTAGATAGTCTTATGAACAGCTTTTTGTAATAGCTTAGCGCTTGGAAAAATGTCTTTTGTTTCAGAGCACTATAGACATGTAAGCATTAGAAATTTGTGTTAAAGTGGTGGAATTCCTCTGTTGGTTCAATAAAATAGGTTGAGTGGGCATTTGTGCTGGGAGGTAGTAGCCATGCCTTGTAATCTGCCCATCTTTCTGCACCATTTTCTTTATACTACAGTACATATATTAAAATGTACTAAGCACTTTTTGAGTTGATTTGAATTTAGGAATGATTTTTTCCTCCTGTGTGAGATTTCATAAATATAGTGTAAGCTATAATAAGTTCCTTTTTTCAATCTGATTATTGAATAGTCTGCAGTTAGATGTATGTCATTTTAAGAGAAATAGAATTATGTTTGGTATTATCTTAATACTTAATTGTCTTGTGTTCGTAGGAGTGGTTTGCTGTTTATGTTGAGCTTAATCAGCAGATAGCAGCCCTTCTAAATGCAGGGGATGAGGAGGACCTTGTGGAATTGAAAGCATTGCAGCAACAGCTGAGTGATGTATGTTACCGACAGGCCAGTCAGCTGGAATTCAGGCAGAATCTATTACAAGCAGCACTTGAATTCCACAGTGTTGCCCAGGATGTAAGTTTTTAACTTTTTAAAGGCTCACCTGTCAATATATTATTGCCTTTGTAGTATAAATGTTGAATACATTGGGAAAAAGTTAGTGGGGTGGGGGAAATATAATGTCACTTGGAAAATGCAGTAGGTCTTCATTTACTAGAATTGAAACATCAAGAAGATGGATTTTCCCTTTTTGAGAAGTGCTTCGTAATGTCTTACATTTCAGTAGCATTTGAAATAATGGTTTAAAAGTTGCTTTTCTTTTCCCCCTCTTGGTTTTTTAATGGAACCTCAATTTGGTGTACTTTTCATAGTTTCTTTTTTAAATTGGCATTTATTCCTTTCCTATACTTGTCTTAAAAAAAAAAAAATCTTGCCTTCCCCTCTACCCATCTAGGGATGCTTGCTCTTGGAATTTTATAGGCAGATGGGTCATTTATCTTTCATCTTGACTTTCATTTCCTATAGATGCAAAGAGAAACTTCTAAAATGACAGATTTCCAAACATTTAGAAGATTGCAGACCCAACCATCTGAAGCTCAAAACTTCTTTTTAAATATCAATATTTCTGTTGCTTTTCATTCTAGTTGTCTCAGCAATTGGATGGCTTACTGGGAATGTTGTGTGTAGATGTAGCACCAGCAGATGGAGCATCAATTCAACAAACTTTAAAACTACTGGAAGAGAAATTGAAAAGTGTTGGTAAGCAAAAATGTTTCTGTATTTCAGATACACACACGAATGCATTACAAGAAAAAAACCCAGTAATCCCATCAGCCCCTAAAACAAAAAAGACAGCAAAAAAAATACCTGTCTCTTCTGATTCCTACCTAAGTAATGCTCCACCTAGCTACCTTTGAGTTGCTTTTGCTATCTACTGCATAGTAGTTCTGTCTGGGAAAATGATCTGGGAATGTTTTCTATTATATGTAAAATGTTTAAAATATATTTGTTATATACCAGTATCATGCATTTCATCTGTAGACAAACCCTTTTCCCTACTAATCATCCTTAATATCTTGGCACTGCAGTGCTTAGATGGTCTCTTTGTCTCCAGAACTGACGCCTTGATGATTGTTCTCCACTCAGAATGCTTATACTGAGTATTTTGCAGTAGCTTTGAATGTGTGTGTTAATAAATGGCACACTTAAGGTCGTTACACTGTCACGCATATACAATAGAATATTTCAGTTGTAATGATCATCTAGTCCAATATGTTATAGAAGCTTTGAAGCAAAATCATACATGGTAGAAGTAGTTATGATTGCAATATAACAGTTTGATGCATAAACTCAATATTCCTTTAGGAAGACAGATAGCAGAGCTGCCAAATAATAGATGTAACAGCAGATTCTAAGGGGTTGGTATATGTATTACAGAAAAACATATTGGCAATATCAGATGCATTACAAAGTAGTAACTTTGTAAACACTGTTACAGTGATAACACTGCTTAGCTGTGATAAATATTTTAGGTATTGTGCAACCGTGTGGATGAAAGACATTAATTAGCTACTTATATGCTGAAAAGTTAATGCTTATTGTCAGCTTTTGTTCCTTTTCTTGTTATCTATTAGGTCATAAAATAGCAAAGCCTTAGCTCTTTGTTAATATAGACAAATGTTCACCCAAACTTAAAAGTTGGAAAGGGTAGCGAAAGGCAGATAGTAATGTCATCTTCACTTTCCAGCCTTCTATCTCAGATTGTGTTGTGTTTCATATCTCTCCTTTGAGGAACAAAAAACAAACAACAAATTTGTAAGAGTGACCATTGACTTCTTTCTTTCTTTTTTCTTTTTTCTTTTTTTTTTTTCTTTAGACTTAGGCTTGCAAGGCTTGCGTGAGAAAGGTCAAAGTCTTCTTGATCAGATATCTAACCAGGCATCCTGGGCCTATGGAAAAGATGTCACCATTGAAAACAAAGAAAATGTGGACCATATCCAAGGAGTGATGGAAGATATGCAGCTTAGAAAACAAAGGTAATAACAGTTCTAGTCATTAAGATTTTTGTGTGCTAATAAGTCGCTTTATGTATTTTTAAAGAGACCGTTTTGCTTTATCTTCTGTTAAGGGATATAGTACAACTTTAATTTATATTTGTGGTATATTTAAATGGGACAGACATTTCGTGCCTAATCTGTTGTAGCATATTCCTAAATCCAAGCATCTTTTGTATTTTTGGTATTGGATGGAGTATTTGAGTGCTTTCCTGTACTTGTAAATGCTCAAGAATTATGCATTCCTTTTATATGATGTTAGGGAATGGATGCAAGAGGCATCTTTTATATGTTAGCAGTTTGAGATGGAAGGTATACTAAGATTATAATAGTGATGATACCTCTAAAATTATGTATTAATTATTTGCAGACTTGTTTATCTTCTTTTTCACAACCTCTACCCTTTGAGTGTGGCATTTTCACTCCTGAAGACAGGAAGAAAGATGAGATAGTGTTGGGGGACGTAGTGTAAAGGAGGCACAAAGTTCAGTTTTCAAAATGTGGATTTTTTTTGTGAGTTTTTGAAAAAGATAAGGTGGGGAATTAAGTTGCAGTAGGGAAAAATGCTGGAGAGAGTTGAATTTGCAAGAAAGGTGGATTTTGCCATCATCGTCATCCTCCAAGCCTTTCATTGATTAGTTTTTCTTAAAGATGTGGTAGTACTAGATTGGCTATAGCACCGCCTTTTTTTTTTCTACTCAACAGTGTGAAAAGATCAGATGATGTTGCTCATAATTACTGCTGGAACTGCTGAGACAATAAAGTACTCTCCATAGAAAGTGCCTGAACTTTGAGGGCAATGACTGAACAAAGATGTCCCTCTAGGGAACAAGAAGGAATAATGAGCATCAAGTTGCTCATTTTAGGAATGAACTCTACCACCTACAAATTGTTTTCTTAGGGAGCTTAGTGTAAGAAACCATGTGTTTTGATAACACTTAGAGAAAGTATTGTTTTAAGTATGTCCTCTGAATCCTATTTACTTGAGCAGCACTTGTGCTTAGAGGACCAACTGCAAAGAGGTGTAGAGGACCATGTGTCACTGTGCAATAAAATGGCAGCTGGAATTCAGTACTGAGAAGAGAAATGCACACAGGAGAAGGAAAAACTTTATATACATAGTAATGGAGTCTGAACCAGCTGTTAACTTAAAGATAAACATTGAAAATATTTTCCAAAAATTGCTTTAATGTTCAATCATACTATGAGAAGCAAGTAGAATGCTACGGATTATTAGGAAAAGGAATAGAAAATTGAAAGGAAAATGTCATTGTGTGACTGTATAGATTGGTAGTCCATTTGTGTTTTAAGTGTTACACAATTCTGGTCTCTATTCTCAGAAGGGATTTAGAATTGTGGGAAGTCAATGAGAGGATCAAAAAGTCAATAAAATGTTCAGACAAAGGCATGAAGCAGCTTCCAGATGATGAATGATTAAAGAAGGTTCTTCAGCCTGGACAAGAGACAAAAAAGTGTGATAAGGTCTACTGTCTCTCAATAGCATTTAAGAGTAATTTTTACAACACTTTTGTTTTCCCCCAAATTCTATTAAATATTTCTCATTTATATACAGCTGCAGTATAATGTTTATTTCTAGGGGCATTTTGCTGCTTTAGTTATGCTTTTGGAACCCATAAACTGTTTTCCTGCATTATTAGAGCAACAAATTTTCTTTCCATAAGCATCACAGCACTACAGAACATGTAACAAAATGCAGCATGCTAACGAACTGTTCTTTGGAAGTGCTTATGTGTACAAACAGTTTGAAAAAACAGATCCGCGTACACAGTCTTTTGCATCCGCTTATAGTCCTGGTGTTGACATTAGTAATTCCATTTGCACTGGCCAGGAGTCTGAATCTTGCTGCCTACTTAGTAGGCTCTGAAATTGAAATGGAAAGGTCATTCTGCTAAATTTATTAGCTCAGCTCTCACTGTGGAAAGAAAAGAACTTTTAATACTTTTTTAAATTTCTGGCTAGAGAAAGAACTGCAAAATGTGCTTAATTCAGAACAAGAGAATTAGAATTAGTTTTTATATTAACTAAATTGTGAAATGTTTCCTGACAAGTTATAGCAAAGGACATCATCATATAAGGGTTCAATTATTACAATCTTTGGTTACCTAAAAAGAAAAATTGGAAGATGTATTAACATCTTTTAAACAGTCCTCATTTTATTCACCAAGAAAACTTTGCCACCAGCCCACAGCAGAATTCAGAATTATGCCAGACTTAAGCCAGCTTTCACCTAGACTCCTAGTAGGACCTGTCTTAACCATGTAAGCCTCTGTGTTAGCTGCACATCTTACCAGTGCAACAAGGTAAAGAACCTGCAATGCAGCTGGAAGGCCTTGTAGCTGCTGCTGGTGTTTCTGTCTATAGCATAGCTGTGTGGGGAGTCTTGAGGATCATGATTTCAGTGGGTTGTAGTGCTCAGTTCTATTTATTGCATGTTTCTTACTGTTATGCGAGGCATTACATATTTGGGCCAAGCTAAGCAGCACAAAAATACCTTAATCATCTTTTCATGAACACTTGCATCTTAATGCTGCTCACTGAAAACATTGCTGTCAAACTCAGAATGTATTGTGTCTGCTAGGCATGTGTGAGTGAGTCTGTCTGTGCTACTGTTTAAGGTGTGAGGATATGGTGGACGTGCGACGACTGAAGATGCTTCAGATGGTACAGTTATTTAAATGTGAAGAGGATGCTGCTCAGGTATGGAAATGCCTTCACAATTTCATCATTCTGGTCCTTGTAGTCCACTGGCTAAACTTATGGGCATTGTTAGTTGCACAGTATTATTTTTGTCACTTTCAAATGTAGTTTTATTTATTGAGTTTGTATAGTGAAAATAAAGGATTTAGCAATGACTGAAATTAGTGTATTTGGTGATTGCATGCATGATCTACCGGTTTGATCTCTTAACTTTTTTCCGTATTAAAAGTATGGAAAAACTAGTACTGAAGTTACTTCACCGTTCTGGATTAATTTCCTTTAATTTATCAGGGTTTATTCTTTAAACTTCTGTTTTTAAGGCAGTAGAATGGTTAAGTGAACTGCTGGATGCTTTGCTGAAGACACACATCCGATTGGGAGATGATGCTCAAGAAACAAAAGTTTTACTGGAGAAACATCGAAAATTTGTTGATGTTGCACAGGTGAAATGAATTTCTTTTTTAGCAATATGGGGTTTCTACAATTTCAGAAGATCTCCTAAATAAAATTGGTAACTGTGTGGACAATCATAGAACAGCTGTTGCTAGTCTTAATGGCTTGCCTCAATGCTTGAATGAAGAAATCATGATTGTTGGAATTGGTGATGAGCCTAATGAGATTTTGAAGTTCCATCAGTAGACTGCAACGCTGTGGTTTACAACCTTAGTTTATTCTGCTTCAGATAGGCAACGAACACCACAAAACATAAATTTCACATTGACTTTCTTTAAAAGGCATATATTTCAAAGTCTTTATAAAGAAGACTTTTGAAAGACTGCAATCCAAGTACTGAAATATGGATGAGCCACTGGGTTTCAGTCTATTTTGTGCTGTACTTCATGACACAGAGCCTGTCTTTCTGTTGGTTTTCCAGATAGTTGACTGTGTATGATGGTCCTGCTTGTACAAGTAGTTTTGACACCAGCAGCGTTAGTGGTTGAACAGAACTGACAGCTTTAATTCTTGGCTGTAGCAGTCAGCTAATGAATCCTGCTGTACAAGAGTACTGAAATTCACTGGAGCCATAGGGCATGTTTGCACTCTGGTTTGCAAATCCTGAATATGCAAACAGATGCTGGGTATATGTGAAAGAATTTAAGAATAGAAAGTGTACAAGCTGAGCCTTTTTTAGGAATGTCCAATTCAGACTTGCCAGTTAACAGATGTAATGTTTTCAAGTTGCACCTGTTACACTGGAACGGATTTTCTCTTTTGATGAATTAGAACTGTCAATGACAGGAGGGTAGCTTGCTGTTTAGAATGATGTGCCACAAAGCACCTGGATGCTGAGTGACCACAGATATGGTGACAGTGAAGTCAGTGAGACAGTCATCTTGGCAGCAGATATCAAGTATCCTATGTAAGACGCAAGCAACTATTTGATATTTTCAGGAAGCTCTTTTGCCAGTGTGAAGGCTAGACAACAGGAGATTATTTAGTTGAATTTTTTGCTCTTTAAAAAAATTAATACTTGGACAGAGTTTTCTAATTGACCAGATTAGTTCAATATACTTTGTGGACCTAAATTGAGGAGGTTTCATAAACTTGTCTGCTGTTATTTTAAGATGCTAATTAACTCCCAAGTTAAATGCAGAGTTTTTATGTGTACTTTCTTTCCCATCCCTTCCAACTTTTAGAGTACTTACGATTATGGGAGACAGTTACTGCAGGCAACTGTTGTCCTGTGCCAGTCCTTGCGGTGCACTTCAAGGTCCTCAGGGGACACACTTCCAAGACTGAACAGAGTGTGGAAACAGTTTACAATAACTTCTGAAGAAAGAGTCCACCGGCTGGAAACGGCTGTTGCATTTCATTCAAGTGCTGAAAAGGTGAGTGTTGTGGTTTTAAGAAGAAAGCAATTTACAGTATGTATCTCTAATACTGACAAGAAAATTGCATATGACTGCAAAAAAGCCAGCCTTGTACATGGTAAAAGAAAACAAATTAATTCTGTCATTGAAGAAGAGCATGGATGCAAAGTTGATTCATATGCTGCTTTTATTCATTTCTTGTTTGTATTAATGGAAGATACTTTGAATTTGTAGGCATTGAGAGTTGCTGGAGGTTCACAATAGCAGAAATATATCATCTATGCTGCCACAAATGGCTAAAAAAGTTTTAGCCTGATACCAAATTAGAATTCAGTGGTTCATAAACTCCTAAGATTTGTCTCAGTTCATGTTACGAGCATTCTTTCATTTTTGCAGTAGTTAATTGCTATGTTTTTAGGTAATCATAAGTTTTAAAAAAGTGGATAGCTGAAAAAATAATGCTCTTGCTCAAAACCATAATTCTCCTAGTACTATCGTGACATATTAATGAGTCTGTGAGGAAAATGTACTGTTAATATCCATGCTGCTTTGGAAAAAAGTAAGTAGCAGCAGAGGGAGAAGTGGAAGAAAATACAGAATTAAGTACCAGTATTGCTGTAGGTGAACCTGCTTTGGTGGGGGGGGGTTAGACTAGAAGATCTCCAGAGGTCCCTTCCAACCCCTACTATTCTGTGATTCTATTGGTTCCCAATCCTGTCTTGAAACACTTGTGTTCAGACTCTTTTAATCCCACCTGTTCTGTGCCAGATGTGGATTTTAGTTTTGAAAGGGCTTGTAAGGGGCCCTTCAGTATTCATGCTTATAGAATAAAATAGTCTATTCAGTTGGAAGGGACCTACAATGATCATTTAGTCCAACTTCCTGACCCATTCAGGACTGACCAAGTTAAAGCATGTTAAAGGCACTATCCAAATGCCCCTCAAACACTGACAAGCTTGGGGCATCAACCACCTCTCGAGGAAGCCTGTTCCAGTGTTTGACCACCTCTTGGTAAAGAAATGCTTCCTAATGTCCAGTCTAAACCTGCCTTGACACAGCTTTGAACCACTCCCGTGTGTCCTGTCACTGGATATCAGGGAGAAGAGCTCAGCACCTCCTTCTCCTCTTCCCCTCCTCAGGAAGCTGTAGAGAGCAATGAGGTCGTCCCTCAGCCTCCTTTTCTCCAAACTAGACAAGCCCAAAGTCCTTAGCTGCTCCTCATGGGACATTCCTTCTAGCCCTTTCCCCAGCTTTGTCGCCCTGCTCTGGACACATTCAAGGGCCTTCACATCCTTCTTAAATTGTGGGGCCCGGAACTGCATGCTGTATTCAGGGTGAGGCTGCACCAGTGCTGAATACAGCAGGATAATGGTTTCTTCCATTTTTATATGGAACCTGTCTTGATGCAGGTTACTGTTTTTATGCATTTTATGTTTGTTGCTGGAATATTGTCTAGCAAGACTATTTTTTTCTTTTTTGTTCCCTCTTAGAAGTAATGTAAAATGTTCTAGTACAGAACAGTGGTAGCCCTGAACTATCTTCTCAGTGTAACTTAATTGATATTTTCCTTTCTTGAATTATATGAATATTTCAATTGATCTCATAAATGTGGTAATAAAGATGCTGAAAGTGTTCACTCTGCTAGTTAGTGGCACTTAAAAAGCTACATGCTACCCTTGTCTACTTTATTCTGCATTTCCTTATTTTTTAACAGATTTTGCAAGAATGTCCAGAGCAGCCTGAAGCTTTTAATGAAATGGAGCAATTTGATGAAATTGAAGCAGTTGGGAAATCGCTGTTGGACAGACTAACAGTGCCTGTAGTTTATCCTGATGGGTATGCAAAATGTTTCTCTAATGCCTATTGAACATGCTTTTGGTAAACTTTCATAAGTCTCGTATGCAGAAGAATCCTGAATGCTTATTGCTGAAATTAGTGTGCCACCTTTTTAATACTCATTAAAAATTCTTTCCCATCTTTTCACAGAAAGCAGGCAGGTCCAGTTTCAAACTTTCCAAAGACAATGTGCCTGCTTTTTTGAAGAAGTGACTTTTTTCATACTCAGTAATTATTAGATTTATTTATTTTACACCAGCAAAGTACGTAGAAGTAACAGAAGAATGACCAGTCTCAATCTCTTCTCCCTGAAAAAAAGATACCAGATTTGAATTGTAGTATTTTGATTAATTTACTTGCAATTGTATCTGAAGTCTCTAAGCCAGTACATTGACGATAAATTTACATTTGATTTATTCAGCAAATAAAACAGTACTTCCCTTGTGAGCTATTCATACTAATTTAAAATTGGTGGCTGTCTGGAGCTACAAAAGCAAATTGAATTTGGAATCTCAGCCATAATAAAACTCATTTCACTGTTCAGTAAAATACACTTGTCCATTGTGATGCTGAGCTTGTAGCTAATTTCTTCTACCTGAGTATAACCAAGCCTTGGAACTAGTCTGGGTGTGTAGGATCCCGCACCATAGTGAATGAGATCTGAAATCAATATTTTGAATTAGAGGCTGAAACCTTTTGAGATGGTGTCAGGCAATTGCATTATTGGTTACCTAAAGTCGATCTGAAAAATACAGTTATGGGAAGCTGGTCATGAAAACTAATTTCCTGTCATCTTATTTCCAAAATATGCTCCCTATGCAGTATAGTTTTCTTCAGTAAGGAGTGCTACCCATGAAGGTGGACCCAAGCCTGAACTAGTAGTGATTTTTACTGCCCTTTCAGTAGTGTATTTGAAAATAGTGGAGGATTTTCATAGCCCTGGGCAGGGGGAGACGGGATGGGGACAAAAACAAACCAACAACCAAGTGTGTTATGCTCCCTATGGAAGATGATGTTTGCCACACTTTGAGGTTTGAGTTCTAACACAATACTTCTATAGCTATAGGTACATACACGCCTGTATTTTAGGCTGACTGGCTGAGTCCTGAATATTATTTCTGACACTTCTGGTATTTTAGCAGAGATCTGTGTGTGTTCCTCCTCAAAAGTGGGGTCTTAGCTGTCCTAAATACCAGGATCTCCCACTCATCATCCCTAGGTATACTGGTTTTGAAGCATTTAACAAACAATTTGCAAAGGGTTCACTCATTAGTAGAAATAGTTTAAGATATGTGGGAACATGCATTTGTCATAAACTTGGAAGCTTCTTTGTCAGCCTCTTCACCACTTTGGACTTTTGTCAGTATCTTCTTGGAAGTCCGGGTCACTGTTCCCTGTCCTGCTCATGGCTTCTAGCCTGCATGAGGAAAAACATCTGCCCATACTGTGATCCTGTGTGCAGTTGTGCAGTCTGCTGTCTTTGGAGTTTCCTCATCAAACTAGTCTATTCTTCTGCTTATGCCTGTCCCCTCACTCTATCTGAAATCCTTCGTCTTACCACCATTTCCAAAGTCTTCCATGTGTGTGCTTTGTGATTATATTTGATACCTGTTCTTCTGAAACGTATTCTGTTCAAATCCTCCTTTTGCTGACAGCTTGGTTAGTGGTTTTGCTAACGTTTCAGCTTTCCTTTTTGTTCTGTTTGAATGAGAGAAATCAATTACACAGCTATGGGTTCTTTTCATTTTGAAAGATAGATGACATAATTTGACAGCATGTGGCTGATTTCACATACACAGTCCTTCAATAATTCAGCAATTGTATAGCCTCAGAAGTCATGTATAGACAGATTTCCTTGAGTTGTCAGTACTCAAAACTACTGGTGTGATTTGGGGGGGTAGCTGGAGAACGGTGGTAAAAAATACTGTTAGGAAGTACCTAGTTGCACTTACATAACAGCACCTTGCTGTTGGGAGAATCTTTTGGGTATAAAAGGGTCACTTAGTATTTGTAATAATTTCAGCAAGATCTGCTGTCAAGTCTCATCACTGAGTCCCCAAAGCCTTTTAAAGGTGGCTTTTAAATTTCAAAAGGAAAAAGTGCTTATATTTCTTACCTGCTTTGTGGTTTTTGGTGTCATTTACATGTATATTCATGCATTGTCTTACTTGTCACTGATAACTTTTTGTGGCGCTTTTCTTTTAGGTCTGAGCAGTACTTTGGGAGCCCAAGTGATATGGCTTCTGCAGCAGAACACATTAGAGAGAAGATGAAGCTAGTTAGCCTGAAAAAGCAGCAGCTGAGACAACCAGAAGACACTACCCCAGAGAGCTAATACTGACCCTTATCTATGAGTTCATAATAGGACTTCAGTTTGTAATCCAGCATGTTGTTTGCATATTACAGAATTTGGCATAATATATTAAAATGCATTTCACAGCGGTTATAAGTCACATCTTTTTTCAGAGTAAATGTTCTCAGCATCTTAACACTGTACATCTATCAAGCCATAATTATTTAACATGCTATGAAACCATAGATTCCAAGTATCTTATGAAAAGGAACTGTAAACTTTGCACTGAAATTTGCTGTAAAGCTTTACCTGACCTGTCAGCTGCTTCTTAGTTAAACAGCTGATGCAAGCTTTGTATGGTGCTAATGAAAGTGTTAGGAGTTCCATATTATGAAATTGTAGTTCTTTGCTTCCCCCTATGCCCAGGTGATGTAGTAATTTTAGACTGTAGGTAGAGTTCCTGCAGTGTAGACAGTGGTGACCCTATAATTTTAATTTGAAATACTTTAAAAAAAAAAATACCATTTTTATTGTGCCAGTATGCAACCTGCCCATCAAATCTTTGATATATCAGAATTCATTAAACAGATGTTTTCCTATTTGTATTGATAATGTATTAAAAGCTGTTTGTGCTTAATAAAAATCATCTTTTTAAAATCTAATATAAATTTGCTCTGGTTTGTATTCCCAAATGTAATTTGTGTTATATTTTTATGACAAATGGTAGTAAAAATCATCAGTCCCCCAATATATTTACAAATTCTGTATAATTTTTCTTTATTCTTTAACACACTGTAGCTAAAAGGGGAACTGCTCTTGAACTATTCTTAATAGGAATGAGTGTGTTTGGGTTTTTTGTAATTTGATAGCAGTACTTACACAAAAATAAGATAGTATGTGTGTAAGTTGGTGTTACATTAATAATAGTTTTGTTTCCATATTAGTGGTACCCATCTCTTGTGCTTTATTTCTAAGTCTTGTCTCCCTTTCAGTGGAGAATCTTGAATAATGTGAATATCCCTGGTAGTACCTTCGAGGTTAAAGATTTTCATGTGATGAAAAATGATTAACATGAAGTTCATAAATATCTTAAAACCATAAGATTAGTAATAAAATGAAATTTATTGAGAGGGGAATTGGATTGAAACAAAGTCAGCTGTGTGCATAAATTGGTTACTTGTTACTCTTCAGGATTTAATCTGGATAAATTCAATATTACATTTACTGGAAGATGAAGGTATCTGACCATTTTAAAATACTGTGTGTGAAACAAACAACTGTGTGCTTAAGTACCTTAGGTTATCTCACTATTTTGGGCACAGTACAGATAATGCTCTCTTCCTGCAGGTGTTGTTATTACTCTGCAGGTTTTCTTGATGGATCTTTCATTCAAATATTACATTTACTTATTTGTCTCTGTTTCCACATTTTCCTCACAGGAGGAAAGTGATGTTTCAAAGCAATGTCTCTATGAAAAATAATAATTCAAAATAATGGCTTCTCTGTAACTTCAGTGATAAATGTATTTTTTTATTCAGGGTATTTTGGCAGAGGAAATCCAATTACTTTTTGATGCATTTGATGCAATGGTACAATATTACATTACTAGTTTAAAAGCAACTGAAGTTTCACAGACCTTATTTATAAAGAGAGGTTTTCAATATAATGTTTTAAAATTTAATGTTCAATTCCATTTGAAAAAGCTACTGTTACTATGGCCAATACTTGAATGAGATAAATTTATTTAGAAAGAACCTAAACATGAAAAATCTACATATTTTTAATACAAAGCACAAACACAAAAGTAAATTAAGATAATAATTATGAATAAGCACTGTATCTCCAATTCTGCAGCATTTGTTTGTAAATTGAATCTACTTACAGTAAATAATGGTCTGCAGTATTAAAATCCCATTAAAATATTAGGTTACAGTAAGCACATATTACAAACACTGAGATTATTTGCAGATTTTTATTTTATTTTTTATTCTATTTTTATTCTGTTTAAGGTCTCAATAATGTGTGCAAAACCAGAGTGGTATCAGAAGCTCCTAACATGTTCGTGTGACAGCTGCGCATACAACTGGGGACTGATGGCTGTTCACCCTAATGACCCCAGTGTTAATTTTGGCTCAGTGCACAGAGTCCAGTGTCGAGGCTGTTCTTATCTGTCGCCCAGCATTCCTAGAGGCCAGTGGATTCTGACTTCCACCCTGTTGTCTTGAATAGAGTCTCTGATACAATCCCTTGGGCTATGCCAGCTTTTCCCCTCTCTCTCTCTGCTCCCTTCCCCTTCCTCTTTGGAATCCCTTGCCTTTAGGGAAATCAAGCGGCTGGTAAGGTGCTATTTATCAGCACTTTGCAATTTGCCTGTTTTTCTATGTATTGGGGATGATGGCAAGTAGTTTTCTAGGTCATGTTGCGTGAGTCTGAGTAGTTCTGAATCCTTCCTATAAAATCTGAGACTTCCTATCTTACTGAAAGAATGGAATAAACACCATCTGTTAAGAATACTATTGAATATAACATTTTTGTACTTGTCTTAGTCAATTTACCATCTGTGGTTGTACTTGCTATTGAACCTTTAGAAACACAGAACCATTAATAGCATACAAAGTCGGTTATATATGTATATATACTTCTGGGGAATTGAAATTGACAGTTGGACTTGATGATCTTAGAGGTCTTTTCCAATCTTAAAGATTCTATGAGATCAGATGTTAGAAAAATACACTGGGCTATCATTTTAAAATCATTGATTCCCACAATTATCCCACTTTTGTTTCCTCCACTTAAATAGTCCTATTGTTGTAGTACTGATGCCTGTAAACACTGCATCTTAATTGGAAATTATTAAAAATTGACTAATTGTATGCCTTTTGCAAGGATATGGAGTCAAGGAGTTCTTCAAGATGTTTTGCATCTGATGCTCAGTGGAGGTAGTTTTGTTGTGAAGATTTACTGTGTGGAAATACAGGTAAGACTAAATAACTATGCAAAAATTACTTTGGTTTCCTGCTTCTAATGGGTCCCTCTGTACAGATCTCCCAAACACATAGTAGTTTAGAACCATTTTTCTGTGAATTCAAGGTCATTTTGGAACCTGAAGGTGAAACATTAAAGAAACCTGTAAGAACAGATCTGATTCTGTCAAATTGGAAAACAACATATTAGTCAAATATCAAAGATACTCATCAAAAGCAGATGCTTCTGCGACTGTAAAATTTTAGTTAGGCTAGTACAAGAACGTATAAGATAGGATATATTAAAAAATATTTAATAATATGTAAGGTATTAATGATACACTTAAGCTCAAAATAGCAATGAAAATTAAGGCAACAAACAGCTTTCTCTTTTCCTGTCAGAGTTGACTTTAGTTTACATAGTTATCTCTTACAGCAAAGATTATGAGAATATAATATAAAGACAAGGGGAAGGCTGAATCAGGATATAAATTCCTCTTTTGAATGGAGAGGAGAAAAACGTATACTTTCTTAAAATTTCAAACATGCTAAGGAAATAGAAAACATTAAAAAGCAAAATGAAAATTCCAATTTTTTTTTTTTTACTTCAGTTGGAAAACTTCAGCTAATTTTCCAGGTACTACTGATCCTTACAGTTTATAAGCTAGAGAGCAGAGAGCTAGACTTAACATTTCAAACTTACGAAGCACAAAGAAAAGCAAAAGAAACTTTAATTGGTCTTAAACTTACCATTTTGGCACATCCTAAGAGTAGGTTGTTAGGGGGAAACAACTGGTTGTGTTAGCAAGAGTTTTGCAGATAATTTACTTTAGCGATGAACAGAAATAGCAATATATGATTTTTATTGCATTTTAAATAATAATGCTGTTTGGCACTTTAATGACAGCATTGAAATGTCAAATGTGTTGTGACTACCTAATGCTACAGCTTTTTGTGCACAGGTGACTAGCACACAAAGCATGCTTAAAAGCTTACAGTAATTTAAAACTGTCAAGCATGGGGTTTTATGGTTCTACAATTTAAAATAGATATTTTCCATATTAGCAAGCCTTTTAGCTGTTCTGCAAGCAGCTAGCCATTGATTACTGTCACACACCACTGATGCAAGATCCTGTCAGGAACCTCTAGTGCACTTTGGATCTGTATGCAAAGGGGAGGAATACTATATGCTATGTAAAATATCCTATTGATTTCTTAAACATCTGTGCTTAAAATGTCTGAGTAGACCCAACGTAACTATATCTAGTTTCCGATACTCGGTATGTAATTGTCTTTGGGAAGGCTGATTTAGCCACAGATTATCTGTCAAACCTCTGTAGCAAGCCATGCCCCTGAGTGCACGTGACCAAAAGGACCTATGCCACTACTTTACACAGCCAGCTAAACCATGGTTTCTACTTAGGACTGTACTTACTTCTTCTGAGGATCCTGATGTTACATATCCCAATCTTATTCTGTCTACTCTGCTACAATACTGTCACTGTCAGAAGGCAGCATGCGTGTTAGGCAGATTAGAAAATAATGAAAAGGAGGTCTCATGGTAGCTGTGGGTCCTAGAACATGAGCAGTAAGATGCTTGGGCAGTTCTGTGTATGTATGTATTTGGCGCAGAATAAAGCCGTGACACCTCAAGGCAGAAAAGCCCTGAGACTTCTGTGAAGTCCTGAGAATCACTGGCTCTATTTGAATGGATATAAATGCTCCCCACATAGTAAGTTTATAAGTTGGGCGTTAAAAAATGTTACTTATCCCTTACCAAGATCTTACACCAAACATTAATTCTAAGCATCTATAAATCACAGAAATGAAATGGAGAGTGAAGCTTAGCTGGAAGAACTGCCTCTCAGAGGAACTGACGGAAGACCTGTTACTTGAGATGTTTTATATCAGAACAAAGCATGAACAAATACCTCTCAAAAATCTTGATTTTTATTTGTTACTGTTCTCCACTTTGGCAGGAGCAGTCAATGTGTTCATTTCAGTGGCATAATTTTCAGATACGGTTCACTGTGTTATGTTTGGTTTGCAGTGTACAGATTGCCATCTCAATTTTAGGGTTTCTGCTTCCTGTGTTCGTTTTCTCAGCAAGAGTTGCAGATGCTGTGTAAGTGACAGCACATTCCCACTGTCACTGCTGACTTTCCAGGCATGCCTGGATTGCTCACGATCCCCGTGCCTCACAGGATCATAGGTTGCAGAGTTCCAGTGGGCTGGAGAGCTCCAGTAGGATGTTCCTCTCGAGTACTATGCCAGGATCTTTTTTTTTTTTAATGCCCTGGCCAAGTGATAAGTGTCTTTTAACATTCCATTCTCCTTTTAAGGTTTTTAGACCACTAGGAAAGTAGTTTTCATGGTGTCTTAACCATTTCCACAGGCAAGTATACAGCATGGTTACTTGATATTTGTTGTGATTGTGTGATGTGAGTCTGACTTTTAGAAACTTGGGAACAAGCCATATTCTAAACTGGTACTAAGTGCAGACTGTTCTCTTTCTGAACCCTTGTACGCAGCTCTGCATGCCTCTATTGGATGATAGATAACTGCAAGCTAGTCTCAGCAGAGTGAGGATTGTACAATGTACTCAACACATTTGACTGCTACTCCGTATATCTGTGGTGATGATGCGAACGTGATGCCCCACTGTCTGTTTTATATCACTTGCTGCCTCTCAGAGCGTG